CTGTTAAAAAAAATTACACTAAATTTAATTAGATTAATTGAATATTTATATTTATTAAACATGCAGAAAGTTTGGCAGATGAATTAATTGCACCAGATAGTACACGATGACATCTAATGTATGCTGTTTGCGTATTTAATTAAAATGAAAATTTCTTAGCATTGTTAACTATCAATTAAATTAAATATATTTTAAATTATAAAAAATAAAAGAATAGTTTTAAATAAAAACGATAACAATAGTTCTGTAAGCGATAGTGAATCAGATTAATCATATTTTATTTTTATTGAAGTACATATTGTATAACACCATTGCATAATTTATTTTAATATTACTAGCATAATTTCTAAAATCGATTTTTAATTAAGAAAAGTTTATTATATTTCTTCCAAGTGCAGGAATATAATATTTTACATTTATATTTTCTTGTGCACTTAGAATAAAAAGATAAATTTTCAGGCAAAATTTTATTAATCGATACTACATCAAGGAACTTGTGTTGAATTGAATTTACTAACTATTATTATATGCTGAACGTTTTCTGAAAATTCACACTTCTCTTTCCCACGGCAACAAAATGTGTCCCTGGGGTGTCTCTCGTATACATTACGACTGCACTTATGTCAATCCTTCTCCCACTAATAATGCCATCAAATTCTCACACACACACACACACGCGCACACACACACACACACACACACACACACACACACACACACACACACACACACACACACACACACATATATCATAGTTGTTTTCTCATTTTTTTATTTAAATTATTTAATCACGATTTTATTCGTTGGTTTCTAAAATCATTCTTAAATAGTAGTATACTCCTTTTCAATAAGTATATAACAGATAAATTTCCCATCTTCTCATCTCGATTGAATCGTGGTATCAATTCAATCGAAATGAATCCTACACAGACTCTACATTGTTTTCTCGGCTTACTTTTAGGCTGTTAAGCCGTGCTCGAATCTGTTAGGATGGATCAGTCCTTCTTTCAAAGGGTACAATATGTGTAAAGGAAAGGAAATATGAGAAATAAAGTAAAGGCCTAAATAAACAATGATACAAGTTATTGCCAATGAACTTTACTTCGAAATTGTTTGATTAATCCATCGGATTTGTAAGTGCGCTTATGAACAGGTTTCACATCAAGACATTCAAATTTAGATTTCTAAAAAATAATTAACAATTATAATTGATAATTAACTTTTAAAAAGACAATGCACATACGAAATAAGCAAACAAATAATATCCTTTTAAAATGATTACATAAGAAGCATATAATTTAATATATCGGAACGAGAAAATATAATTTGATGGTAAAAATAAGAAATTTTTAAGAGAATCGGAGAAAGAAAATATATTTATATATAAGATATTTCTTATTTATAATAATTCAAAATTTAAAAAATTAAAAAATAAATAAATCTACATTATTTTAAATAATCTCTAAAATTTTTTCTTCAGGTGATACCGGCATAAAATCGACAAAATTATCAATGTTACATACTAGAAAATACTTTTATTGGCTTTACAGAATTGGAAATCCTTTTACAAGTTTAAAGTTCACACATGCTTAATGCATAATTGAAAAATACAGACAATAAGAACAGAAAATAACAAATTTCAATCTATCAAAAACCGTGTTTTATTTTGGTATACACGGTTCTGACAAATTACAATTTGAATTGTTATTCCCTGTTTCTATTGCTTGTATTTTTTAATTAAGGTAATGCTGGAGTGACGGCTGAACTTAATCAATGTCAATGTCAATAGTATAGAGACAATTCGGAGATTTTTATAAAATTGTAACGTCTTGTTAATTTGGTCACTCTAGCACCCTTAATTGTATCTTAAGCGTAAATAAATTTAGAAAATTAAACTTAGACTAACATTTGAACCTAAACTAAACTATGCCTAGGAGCGGTAAGTTTAAAAGTGGCATTTTTTTTTAAATTTCTCAAAAAATAGACATTTTTAGCGAATGACTAAAAAAATTGTTCCTTAATCGACTACTAAATTCGAGTCAGGGATTCACAACAGGAATCTTCGTTGATTTCGTTCTATCATAGAGAAATCTGAGAGGCCATGTTAGCTTTTTTCGCGTAATCATTGACATATACATAGAATAGGATCAGTAGATTATAAATGAGTTTGCTATTTAAAAAACGTGTAAAGAATTCTATTGTAGTAAATGAAACATACATAATTTTACAACTTTTAAGTATATTATAAAAACATTATTGTAATAAAGGTAACCTAGTAAAATCCTTACAAAAAATTTCTCTTTTTTTTTGTTATTTGTTGCAAACATATACTTGAACATCCTAGTTTGAAAATTGAATTGCGGCGGCAACGATTTAAGTGCTTACAAGCAGAAATCTGACTCTGATTTAATCTTTAATGTGAAATAAAATGCATTCTTTAACTATAACTCTTCCAATTAATACTGCAATTCGCACCGACAAATCGGTTTGACTCATATCAAAATAAATCAAACCAAATGAAGGGCGAAATAAGAGTCAGCGCATTCATTAGAAAACATATAATCAAAAACATAAATCAGAGATACAAAAAAAGTGAAAAATGAGGAAAAGACATATAATAAGATAAAATAAACAGAGAAAGAATAACATTACAAGTTTCGGCTGCCAGATTGAGCCCTCTTCAGATGTTAACAGAAATATATAGAATTAAAAAATAATAAAAAATAAAAAATAAATAATAATTGTCGCGAATGCGCTGACTCTTATTCCGCCCTTCATTTGTTTTGATTTATTTTACGTACGAAGAGTCTTTATACCTTTGTTATTCATCATATCAAATAATTATGTATAATATTCTCTTTGTGCAAACATTTTCTACAATATGCGTAATCTATAATGTATATTATTTAATAATAACATATCATCTCGCTTTATCACAATAATCACTATCAAAAATATAAAAGAATTGATCCCGTAAAAGATAATTTTCTTATATGTGCATAATATATAAGAAAATCATCTTTTACGGGATCAATTTTTTATACACTGTGCCAACAAATTAAAAGAACATCTATTTTGTCCTTCAAAAATAGATAATTTTCAAGAGAGTGTATTTTTGCAAAAATTAATTATAATGAGAGGATTCAACAAATATTTTAAAGCTTGATGTCCCTAAAACTTAAAACCTTTTTAAATCGGTACTGTAAAACGATTTGAATGTTTTTTACGCAACTATATGCAAATAAAGATTCGTCAAATCTCAAAACTTTCACGAATTTTACAAAGTTCTAAGGTGTTAGTTAAAAATCGCACATGAAAACAGTTTTTGAAAGAGCGAATCTTTATTTTTAATTTGTGAGCAGTGAAAGTAAAAGAAAACGTTTTTTGCTTCATTGCTGAATAACTTGGTGAAGAAAATTATACAAGGCTCAATAAGTACGTAAATTAAAAATACAGATGCACTTTTTTAAAAAATTTGTAAATGATATAATTTGTATATGATTTTTAATTTGTGCTATGGAACTTTGTAAAGTTTGTAAAAAAATTTGAGTTTTTATGGATCTCTATTTGTATCTATTTGCAAAAATCAGTTAGATCGTTATTTAATTGTCAACCTAAAAAGTATAAGAGACTTTAAAACGCTTGGATCATTTTATTATAACAATTTTTCACGAAGTTTTTTTTTTGAAAAACGACTATATTTGCAGAATAGATAATTCCTTAATTTTTAGCGAATATATAGTGTATATTATTATTTAATAATATAGTTGCAGTTTTAATTCTCTGTTCGTGAACGATTTTTACAAATATGTACTATTTTAATGGTATCATTTTAATTTATCATCTCTGAAATTATTTTTTATTTTTCTAAAATAAAAAATAAAAAAGTTTTTGAGGATGGCACATCAAAACCTACTCTGTGCCTATTGATATTTTTAGTTTACAGATTAAATAACTACAATATACATTATCGCTCGTGGAAGTTCGAACATTTGCATGATCGAGTGAGTATGTATTTGTATATTTTATGGTGATACACATACTAATATCATTTGTAAAAACTTGATAAATTATTTTTAATACGTAAAAATATATTATCTTTATTCGCAAAACATTGATAATATAATCGAAAATTTTCAAAAATTCACGACACAGAAAAATAAAAATAATTTATAAAGCTTTTTTACAATTGGTGTTAGTGTATAAGTACTCTAAAATATAGAAAAAAATAACACGATTGCTGTTTTATAATGTCCTAATTTTTTAATTTTACACGACCTTTTAATAAAATTTATGCGAGTGTTCTAATTTCCACGAGCGGTAGAATAGTTATATATTTGTAAACAAAACTCGCTCCTTTTGTCCATTTTTATTCTTTTATATAAAATTTCAATTATATCTTTCCCTCTTTCTCTTATTTTATTCTCTTGCTAAAAGTGAATGTATTTTTGTTTTGTGAACTTTTGCAATTTATCTCATAATAGTTATTCAAATAATAATTAATAATAATCGTAAGCTATAAACTGGACTAGAATAAAGCAAATCGATCTTTTAATTATTATACTCTGAAGATTGATTTGGGAATTCTTCTTTGGGAGTGGTGTAGTCCAATTCTTTCCTGGTGTAGTCCAATTCTTTCCCGTCAGTATCTATACCCGTAAATATCCGAATCAAAATTGATGCAGACATGTTTATTATTGGAGACATCATTATCATTGGAGAGATTGCAGGGATGATGATCGGAGATATTCGAGAATCTCTGATCCTCGAATGTCTC